CTAGCAGTACGGCCAGGAGCCCCTAGTAGCGTCCTTGCTCCTAGTAGTAAGGCCAGGAGCCCTTGTAGCGTCCTTGCTCCTAGTAGTAAGGCCAGGAGCCCCTGGTAGCGTCCTTGCTCCTAGTAGTAAGGCCAGGAGCCCCTGGTAGCGTCCTTGCTCCTAGTAGTAAGGCCAGGAGCCCCTGGTAGCGTCCTTGCTCTCCTAGTAGTAAGGCCAGGAGTTCCTGGTAGCGTCCTTGCTCCTAGTAGTGTTTGACGCACAGTTGAAACGTTCCAATTGAACCAGCTCAATTCCTCGGGCACGGAGGTCGTCGCAGCAGACATGGACTCCACCTGTGGGGTCGTCGCTTGCTGTTTGGGCGACAGGGTCTCTGAAAGGGTCGGACCTTGCTATCTGCGTGCTCGTACTTCTTGCCAAAGGCCACGGTGGCCTCTCATAGCAACAAACGTTGAATGCTGAAATACTGTCACATGTCACTGCTTGCACCAACACTGACACAAGTAATATTGCTTTTACAAATGCTTTCAAACTGCCTCTTCGACAGCTTGTGCTGCCATCCGGCGGAACTCCTCATCCTCCTAGTGCTTACAAAAGGCGGGTTTCATTGGAAGCTCTTCTTCTCAATATGCTAAAAATTAATCAAACCGAAATGGTCCGAGCAGTCGCAAACCGATCATCTAAGCAATAAGCTGAAGGTCTCATTTATGTCAAAGCCACAAACTTTGCTGCCACTTGAAGGAGGCGGATGCAATCAGTGAGCTTGATGCAATCAGCCAGCACGCCTGAATGTTTTTCATTTCCTGCTTGTACGCCTCCTCAGCCTTTCTCTTCCGTTCTTTGGCCTAGGAAAGCTAGGAAAGAGTCACGCTCTTGCGAAAGGAAGCAAAGGCAAAGGAGGCAAAGGTAGCCTTTGGGTAGTGTTTTGTCCAGCAAGCACGGGGCACACGGTCGCGACAACCAGATTTTGAAGCTCACAGCTCAACCGCAAGAGGAAACCGGCGAGCCTCTGCCATCTCCTTTTCCATAGCTTCCATATCTTTTCTGGAGGCCTCTGCTGCCTTCGCCTGGAATTTCAACTACAGTGTTGTGCGACCCATGGTTCTGAAGCTCTGACTGTGCCTCCAGCTCCGTGATGGCTTCTTCCGCCTTCTTAACTTCTTTCAAAGTAGCATCCATCTTCTCCTGTGCCTGGAAGCATATGGAAGCCAAACAGAATATGTGTCCGGCCTTCTCAATCAATCTCGTTGCATCTTCTCGGAAAGAGTGATACTGTGTCTTGCTTTGAATCAATCACGCCTTCTTCATCATAGCATGCGTGAAAGGCGGGATTATATCTCGAGGATGGTTGACAAAAGCCTGGACATGCTGACATGCATTGTACAAAATGTTGAAGTACATGTATAAATCTGTAGCCATGACAACACAGCTTCTCTCCAACAAGCAAAGAGCCTTTAAGATATTCTGCCTGCTATTGTGGCGTCGCAGCCTCAAACAAGGACATGATAACATCAAAGACTCTACTTTGCGTTTATTGTAACAAAAATGGATCAAGTCGAAGAATTATCGAAGCCGTCGAATTGTCGGTAGAATATTGCGACAATGCTTGAAGCAAGACTCACTTCAACCTCTGGCCTTGTCAGTGGCTCTCCATCTGCCGGGTCAGGGTTGTCCACAAACAGTATCCTTCACAGGAACAAAGCCATGTGTCTGTGTCTTACGGGTCTTTCTCCCAGTCCTGTTTTCGTTGTTCCCCACCTGAGTTGCGCACATTGTTTCCCACTCTGACATGGAAACCCGGTCCACTCAACGACAGCGTGCTGGCAAGATACCAGAGAATAGATATGCCGGAAGCGCCAATTCAGCTCACATTGCCGCTCAATCCATGCTGCAGCCTGCCGGCTGCGAGGACAAGTGCATGCCCAGGAATGTGTCCTGTTGCCCATTTCGTGGGGAGTTCAAGATGCTTGCTTGGTGTGCTGAAAAGTCACTGTAGTCAAAGAAATTCATCTAACATATTCGTCTTGGCTTGATGGATGTCCCACAAATGTCCAGCCTCCTCCCTTTGCGTCCTTAGAGCATTGGCCATTCGGTCTGGTGCACTCTCAGCAACAATCCCATTTTGTTTGGCCAGCTGGAAACCCTGAGTCTCTGGCACATATCTGCTGGCATAAGTTACAACAATGTAGAGGTTCAACAAACATTCTGTACCCCAAAGGTACTCGGTCGCGTAGATCAACCTGTCACAAGCCATTCCTAGGAGATGTGCATGGCTAGTCACAATTTGTTGGCTTCATGGTTGCAAGTCGTGATGGCCCAATTCCATTCCTTTCTTGTGGTCTTGTACAACGGTGGGAATAACCAGTGCCTGGCAATCACATCATCTGTGATGCGACCACTGCGCATCACGAAGACCATAGCATCCACACCATTTGGAGCTGATAACGCCTGAGCTGCGCTGGCAAAGCGTCGCTCAGCTCAAGTAAAACCTTCTGTTGTGCTTTAGCTTTGACTGTGCCAAGCAAGAAGTGCTGGTTTCCTCATCTGATTCGAGATTATCCATTATCAGCAGCCCTGTGATTAAAGTCATGGCCTGCTATGATAGTAAAGAATCCAGCTTGGGCTGGCCGAGACACGGAATCTCTGATGTTTGCCACAACCTTGTCCTGTCGAGGCTGCAACCTGCGTTCCTGAAGCCTTGTCCCACACAGTGCCCAACAAGTGTCCTGGTCCAGCTCGGTATCCCCGAGGCCAATGGTGTCCAACCTTAGTCACCCTGCGTGCAGAAGTGAGTATCATAGGCTGCGATATGCATGTTTCTGAGAGAACGGGATTCTTTTGTTGCAGGTCTTCCCAGCCTTCGTCCAAAAACAAGAACATTGCTTACTATTGACATGTCCTCATGTTCTCTACTAAAATAAGTCAGCTGAGAGGCAGAACCAGTGATCGATCCGGTGCCTCGTACTTGAGCACCGACTGGTTATTCGTCACAGAAGCCTCAGCTGCGTTGCCGACGGCGTCGATTCGGCTGAATCCAAAGCCGATGGCTGCAACAATCGGACCACAGTCATGCAGCCGTATCATCACCTGAGACGAAGTGATCGTAGCCTGCCAGAAGGTTCCCGAGGGCACTCTTTCCAGATCCGGTCATGCCAAACATCATTACCTCAGCACCAAATCTTAAGGGAACAGGTTGACTAGTCCGCGAGCACGACTCACGGGGCATGTTGAACTTTTTCGGGAAAGTCTCAGCTTGAACCTTGCTAAGAAAGCGATGATGTATCGCCCCGACATGGGTGGAGGCCATTGCTACTAGGGTGGAGGCCATCGCTAGTAGGTTGGAGGTCATCGCTGGGTGATTGTTGCAGTTTGGTTCAGACCAGGCCGCGGTGAAGCGTCCACCCGGCGGCAGCCGTGGCTCTTGACTGCCCACAGACATAGCACTCAGGGTGCCACTGAGGGCTGCCGCAGACTCCGCGCCTTGTGACTTGAGCGACTCGAGTCTTTTGATGTCTTTTGTAGTTCCAAAACAAAGAGTACAGTGAGATGTAAGACGTTCAACAGCGCTTCATCTTTGCTTATGAAGGCACCCAGCAGCTCCAGCTGCTCTTTCATACTGCAGCATGCTATCCCCATTGCTAAGGAAACAGCAAGGTTGACAATGATCCAATGGAAGAAACACCAGCGGTCTGCGTTTGCATCTCTTGCACGTTGCCACTCTACTACAACTACAGTGAGGGATGCCTGTTCACATTGCCTTCCGAAAGGGTCCAAGGACGGTCAAGGACGGTTGTTCCTGTTCTGTCCGGGCAAAGAAGTTTCTGGATTCATACGATGTTCTCGGTGTTCCCATGGTTCCCATGTTCATCCTGGCATGTTGAAACTGAGATCCCATATGCCACGGCACACAAACCAGTCCTTGCAGTCAAGTCTGTGTCCAATGTTTCTGAGTTTCACGAAAAGCAACATACTGCTAATTCCTATGCTTTTTGGAAATTGGCACAACATGCTCTTCAACCTCCACGTAGTGCTCTGTGAGCATTGCTGCATCCCGCGGGCGATGAGGTAGGTCGGTCCTTTCGGTATCGAGCGCTCGAAAGCACCCGCTAATAGGGAATCTCAAATACTGTGTTCCTTTCTTCTACTATCTTTCTCTTTGTTTCTTTCCTGATTCTTATTTCTTATGCCTTCCGCAGTTAACGACAAATATTGCTGCTCTTCTTGAGGTGCTGGCGCTCTGTGACACAAATTGCCAGCAACCATCTGGACCTACAAATCACAAAAACGAATCTTTTTCGAGCCAAGCAAAGGGAGGTCTATCTTGAGGTCCTCCGACGTCGTCGCAGACTAAAAAAGCCGAACCGATGCTGTAGAGATATGATATTTCAGCTATAAATCAATCCAAATCCTTGTGTTTTACAGTGTTCTCTTACAAAAGCCTCTCCAGATTGTGCTACTTAAAATGCAGCTGAGATCAAAGAAATCCACCCTATATTCCTGATAATAGGGGATTGCAAAAAGATGTAGTAAAAAAGGGCTCAGCCCAAGGGCCCAGGAGTGTCTCGTTTTTGCTTTTAGGCCTTGGCAGGCCACTTTAGTGTGTATGTCGCATTTAATAACAGTGCAAAACGAGGTGGTGTTGGCTGAATCTCAGCTGCCATTGCTTCTTCTGTTCCTGCAAAAGAAGTTCCTGTTCGAAAGCATTCCCTCATATAAAACCAATGCCATTATTGTTTAAACCTCTCCACTGTACAAGGATTCTACTATTATTCAAAACCCTCCTGGGTTATGCAAAATATGTTGCTTCGATAAATGTCCTTCACAACTTTTTACTAAACCAACAAGTGTCACCATGCTCAAAAATTGTCCTTTCCCAAGTCTATTCCTTTCCCAAATTCCTTCCCTGGGAAGTGCCCTGTAGCTAAAGGCACCTCCTTTAAGAAGCCTACTCCTTTGTGCCTGCATCATCCTCTATTGAAAACACTATTGTCCTTTGTAAGGGGATCATCCTTGGTGAAATTTAACCTTATCACAGGGCTTTTCCTTTTGAACTGATCGCTATTTGTGCATAAAATCATTGTTATTGGAGCTCAATTTGCTGCGACATGATATTGAAACGTTGCACAAACAGTATTAACAGTGCTTTGTCAAAGTTACTTTAACAAATGTGCTTTTTCTCAAGCACACCGCGTCCACTCTTTCTCACAAATCCGTCAACTCAGTGTGCTAAATAAAAAATCAAAACCTTGCACAAACAGGTTGACCTCATCATCTGCGTTCTGATCAGGCCGATGAAGCTCCAAGTCCTGTCAACTCTCTGAAGTCTCAAGTCCTGTCTACAAGTCAACTGGTACAACACACCAGCCCAGATTTTGATGCCTTTGTAGTTCCGCCCATCTTAGATGCTCCATCCATCCATCCATCCAACCAACCAACCAACCAAGTAACCAAGCCACCCAGCTGACATGGACGCAATGGAGTATGGCATGAGTGTGTGAGTGCCGCGCAAAGCATCCATGCATGATCATTAGCTACTAGTAGTAATGCCCTTCTTACTAATGTATGCGAGACTTGACTGAAATATCTCGTTCAAAACATTATGCGCGTCAGCAAAGGGGCTGGTGCAGCACTGTGCTGGTGATTGTGGTTGCTGCTACAAAAGACTGTCTCCTTGCTGACCTTGCAACAGGCCACTTCTTTCTTTGAAGCATCAAATTTCTGCCTTTCTAGCTTCTGCAGCACTTAAACTGAAAATTTTGAATCCGTGACTTGAGAAGACAACGTCTTTGTATGGCAATACTTACGCAAATGAGATCTTGAACACTTGGGCAAAGGGAACCACGTAACATCCACTCGCAAGCACAGCAGTCAGATCTCTTGGAACAGAAAACGACTTTGGTTTGCTTCTGGCTCACTTGAATGAGAAGCTGCGTCCTTTTCGAGGCACCTACCTGCGTATCCTTGGATACATGTGAATAAGAATGCATGGAAGTAAGGAAGAGTAGAACGACAAAGCATGGACTTGAACGGATTGATAATGAAATCCATGAGTAAAAGGAGAAAAGAAGCAAATAAATAGGCAAAGAAAAAGAATAAACCACCTGGCCACACCAACCACTCATGATGCGTTTGTGCAATTCTGTCTCATTCTATGTGTATATATATATACTCGTAATGTATGTATCTCACTCCCTGTCAATCACTGCACCCTCACCAAAACCCACGCATCTCTGCGGGCCAAAAGCAATTCCCTAATAACCTATATATATATATATACATGTTGAAAACAATAAGGCGTACTGGGGACGTCTTGAAATGTGTACACCAGAAGCGCTCGCTTACTTCCAATGGTAGGAAAAACTGGTTTCTCCGGTCGATCGCTAGGGTGTTTGCAGCCTCTCTCATACATAACAGCAAAGTGTCTTATGCTACACTGGGTCCTTTCACTGGAAGGAACATCGAGGGTCAAAATATAGTGGACTCGACACTGTGCAAGAACACTGTGAGGTCTTAGATGCCATTTACAGTGATTTCGATAAAAGGAAGAACGCTGCTTTCGGGCTTAAAAGGAAAATGCCTTGTGCACTGACAGGAGCCTCCAGGCGGCCGCCAGTCAATGGGGCAGTGCGCTGCAACAAGTCATACTGACGCTTTCGCCCCTGGACCTTCAAGGAATCACTGCATGTGATCAGGAGTTGACAGCTCTCAGAAACAAAAAGCAATCTGCGTTTGCAAACAAGTATAAGCCCTTTTCGCTATAATTAATCTGTTTGTTGTTGAGCTTTGCACTGTGCAAGGGGTTGGTGCACGATTGTTGTGAGCAAAATGAGCAAGCTGCCCCCTCAGCTTCAGTATTCGGCACTGGAGAAACTGCAAAAGAAAACAAAGAGCTGAAGAACTAAATCAAGAAATCTCTGCAACTCATTTTTTATCCCTCCCTCCCTCCCTCCCTCGCTCCCCTCTTTGGACTGGCTCAGATCTCAGCATGAAATCGCGCCAATCAATGACTTTGCTATCCAAGTTGTCACTCTCCTCGCAACCGGAGCAGGTTCGATGTCAATGCTTTAGCCTGATGCGTAGATTGCTTAATCCTCCCCTGTGTCAAATTCAATGTGTGGAACTCCTGACCAGGAAACTGTGACGCCCAGAGGAACTCGACAGCCTCGCAGCTTTCACTATCAGGCGTGTACTTTCCGTACTTACTTCAACATGCACTTCCAAATGATTGGGACTGATACACATCAAGAATGGCACTGTTCTCAGGATGCAAAGTTGCAGACATGTCCTTTGGACCTTACTCAGGTGCAGTCCAGATCCCCAAAATATTACGATGATTCTCGGAACATGTACTTCCTGGTTGGGTGGCAGTACCCTGAACCCATTGAATTTTGTTGAATCGTCCATAATAACCAATAACGTCATCTTGGTTGCCAACTCAGCAGCCGACAAATTGAAGAGTAATTACCCTAGACCGGTTCTGCTCTTATTATCAAGCACCCCGCTTGCCTGATGAGAGATATGGTTGCCTCAGCACAAATGTCATTGGCAGCAAACATCTTCAGTTGACCATGAACACAAATTGCAGCTGTGGTACAAGCGGTGGCGACAGCGTTGGCAAACTGATCCTTGCTGATGGCATAGTGCCGCTCTGGGTCAATTTCGCAAAACGCCTCGCATGCAAGCTGTTGAATTGCCAAGAAGGCAGCATTGCAACCCCTATAGTTCAAGCATATACTTCTTCCTCTGGCCTTCCCTAACGCTTGCCCGTTTGACAACAAGTTGTCGACCAGCTTCTTGGTGACAAAGCGCACATGACGCTCCTCAAGCCAAAACATGACACTTTATATATACAGTATGTATGTATATATATATACATATATACCACTGTTTGCTGCCTCAACCCTCCCTCCTAAGTCCGCAGCTTTGCAAAAACATGAAGGTTCGTATTCTGTTGGACTATATGATATAAGCACAAAGTACGATGGCAATGTCTGACATCATACGCTACGAAATCAACACACAAAAATGACATGATGGTCCTTCCTCTTCAAGCACATTTCTCTCAGCCTCCCTTTATGTCAACCGAAACTGCTCCACTCCTGAGCCTCTTGTGGTGAATCGCCCACCGCCAGTCGTGGTCCATAGATGAGGTCTGCAAATTCCTCATAAGTGATGGCCTTGGAGGAGTTACTCCACTCTTCGACTCGAGCTGCGTCCAGCAACCGGGCAATTGTATTTTTTTTTCATGCAGCTCGCCAAAGTTGTTAGTTGGTCACCAATGCAAATCCACCAAAGTAGCATCACAAAGAAGGCATACCTGGCATACCTCTTACTGAGCTCTTCACACCCTTCCGGTCCCTGTCCACTGCCTAGCTTGATGGCTGACTTTGCCGATCGGAAATTGAATATTTGGAAACATTTTTCTATATAAAAGGAGAA